GATGATTTTTTAATTACGCGCTCGGGAAGGATACAGAAGTGTAGAACTTAATAATAACGGATCAATTTTGAAAAATGAGAAAATATTAATTTCCGTGAATAATTATTTTCTGTGAAGTTTGTTAAAGGTTTGTTAAAAAGTTAGTGCAGGAATGTTCTTACGAGATAATTCCTTTCTATTATTATACTTTGATGAATGGATGTATGACGATGCGATAATTCTTCACTTAGTCGTGTTCTATCTGGATAAATCACACACGAGACAAATTCTCGCAAATTTAGCAAATGCATTTCCTCAATAGCAACATAATTCTCACCAAAAACTAAAGAAGACATCGGTAAATGTTTCCGCGCATGTGAACAGCGCGAATACGATCCAGTACATCATCCATTTGACCTGAAACCAAGGAAATTCTAGAACAATGGATTATTATTAAAAGTAACGCAAAGAGATTGCAGATAAATATATTTTTCCATTTACGATAAATAGAAAAAGAGTATTGATGAAATAAAGACAAAATAAGTATTGCTTTAAAAAAGATCCAAAATTTCAATTACAATTTATCTATTTTATCATTCCAAGAGAAAAATAGATTAGAAAAGAGTTACAAATTAAATTAATTTTTGTCATGAATCTCCTTCTAGAGTATAAATAAATTATACGAAAGATAAAAATATTCAATCGGAATATTAAATTACATTTTGCAATTTAATTTGTAATTTAAAAATCCATATCCAATAATTTGTAATTTAAAAGTCCATATCCATTATATAATAAATTTTTTCTATCTTTAATATTACAATATATTTAAAAAAAATTTATGTAATTTTTAAAAAATAAAATAAACAGAATATGCCAAGAAGTTTAAGAATCAACGTATTTCCGTTTAAGCATCTTCGAGATATTCGATTTAGGTGCAAAAGTCGCATTCGCAAAATTGTTTATTATGTCGTATTTTGTTTATGCTTCTCACTTACATATTCTTTGACATTTTTCGTACGCACTGCCTTGTACGAAGCGTACGCCGGGTATAAGGTGCCGAAGACCAATCTGAAAATCGGATAAACGAGTCTGTAAATAAGGGATCGTGGCGACAATATTGCCAGGAACACCGTCAACAATCCGACGTTATTCAACGTCATTCTTATGGGGAACGTTTGCAACCAGTAACGACACCAGGCCATCGCTTGTCTCGCCAAAAGTTCGCCAATTCCCTCCCTGTGGATCATCGCGATCGGCAACTCGTCCGATCGTGACACGTCTTTCTCGAAAATGTCTACCGTCGATCGGCGTTCTTTTCTCGTATCCATATTTATTTCAGCGATTTATCTCTCTCTGTCTCTCTCTTTCTCCCTTGCGTCGTTTTCTCTCGTAATATCTTTAATACTTCCCAAGATTCTGCGACGATCGTCGGCTCGGCACGACGAGTCGAGCTGCAACACAAAACAGAAATTATCTGAGAGACGTCATCAATGTGTGTTAGCGATGCAGAATACAACTTGTGAATACAATTTAAAAAGAGTCGATGAATGAAAGAGTCGATTAGGCAAAGTATCCACATTGATACCTTAAGGTACTTTAAGGTCTCGTTAGTCAAATCGATTATCGGATTTGTTAAGGATCTAGTGAATGAGTCCAGTGATTGAAACGATTATTAAAACAGAATGACATAGTTCCACTTTGATTAAAATAGAATAGATATGAATTTAGGAAAATCATTGTCGCTTATATTGACATATGATTTGACAGTGTCATTATGCTAAAGTTCCACTCGAACATTTGCACAAAGAAACAATTAACTAAATATAATTAAATCGTTTAAATTGGTGTCCAGTTTTCAAAATCTCGCAAAAATATTTGCATTCCTGATTTATTAGAGAAATTTATATGTTTGAAAATCTTCCAATATGTTAAATTCACGTTACGAAAACAATTTTCTCACTTTGACATTATTGAAATAAAATATAAACCGATACGAAAGGTTATGCAACAATATGTCGTGTGTTATTAAAATTTGAAACATGCAATTTTGTATCAAACTATAGGATCCGCGTGCATTTGTAGAATATTTTAGCAGTTTAATCGGACGATTTATGCTTTTCAATGGAATCCCAAATTCGATGATCATGGAATGATCATCGAATTTGGAATTCCGACGCTTTCGATTGAAGCGGGGTCATCCGTCGATCAATGCCTGCAACGACCTCGACTGCGCTGATCTCATTTAAAGGATTGCGTAAGAAGCTTATTACGGAGATCCAATTAAATTCGTGGTATCGTTGAGCTGCATCATTCGTGTTTTTTAAGATAAAAAAGTCAATTACAACTCACAATATTATCAGTAACATTCAATTACACTCCAGTAATATCAGTAGTACTCTTTAGACACTTAAGTATTATTCATAAGCTTTACATATACGTAACATTGTAGTATAATTGTAATAAAGATAATAATTTTAAAATACAGAAATAAGCTAAACAACAAATAAAATAAAATTTGTCTAATTTATCAGCAAGCATATATTCGTTGTTTTCGAATAATTCCTATAGTGCATTTTATTATTTTATAAATACGTACGTACATCCGTCCAAACTGAGAAAGTATTAATCTAAGTAGCAGCGTTTGTCATCGGCGTTTGTTAATACCTCGATTTTGTATGGCAAAAATATTTCCGGAGTTTCATCGAATTCACACGAGAAGAACGACAATAAAAGACTCTTTAACAAACTCAACGTTTGCTTCTTACAATCCAAGCGGTTCGTCCGTCAGATTCATCCGCGTCGCGTCTTCTCGAAGTCTCCTGTCGTTGCTCGTCCGTGCCCGTTGCGTGCGAGACGACGACGCTTCGTCAGTCCCCTCGTGACGAATTCCGACGAGATGTTTCTTGCTCCGTCACCATCGTCGTTTCTCCCCCGGACTTATTCCTCGCGCATAAGACCGCGCTCCCGACGTTATATCGCGTCGAGCGATTCGCTCTTCTCGCGTATGCCTCCAGTTACAGACTAAGCGCGTAGCTGCGTCCGTTCGGGCACCGTCAACGACGACGACGACGACGACGACGACGACGACGACGATGACAACGAGCTGCGGAGGCTCTATTTTCGCGTCTTAAGCCGCTATCACGCGAGCGCCGTTAAACCGACACCCGTGTGGTGTCTTGGAAGATTGGTAAACGCGGCTTTCTCACACGTGATGAATCACCTGATCATGTTCGCGCCACAAATCACTTCCGCAAACTGATCCACACATTCGTCCTGTAAACCTACCTCGATTAGGTCAAAGCTGTTTATATACGCCGTGCGTCGGAGTAAATAGGAGTTATTGAGATAATTAAGGCATACCTCGTCTCGAGGAAATTATTTCCAAGATTATTTCTATTCATTTCTATTCATTTCCTCTCGTCTGCATATTTATTATGAGGAATTTGCAGTCGATTCCTCATGGTGCTATTCTTTAAATTTTAAAGAAGAATTCTATTAGAACTGGATTATTTGAACATAAACGGAAAACGAAGTTTTGACCGAAAGGTCAGTTCAGGAATTTTTCATCATTTTTCACTCGAAAACTGGAGCTTAAAAATGTTGTATAAAGAAACAATTCCCGTTTGACATATTTTGAATAAAGGTCAAAGAGAGAATCCGATCAAAGTAGACGGAAAAACTTGGGACACATTCTGCATACAATAGGTCAAATGTCTGAAGCTTTCAAAATTCTCTTTTAAGTTCAAAACTGTTAAAGTGTCTGTGAGACAAATGTATTTAAAGTGCATGACCGTTTTTCCGCGAGTGGGTCATCTCGGGTATGTGCCAGAGGGGCAAAGTTAATTATATATACGCCAACCTAGATATCGCATCGATGCTTTTATCAGAATAAAGATCGCGACCATTCAATTTCCCAAACAATGTGTAACTCGAATTTAGATTTAGCCTAGCGATAATATAACACCTCAATTCTACGCTTAAAATCGATTTCGTCTGAATAAGGTCGTAACTGCAAAGACAAGATCTGACGATATCGGCAATTTCTACTAGAAATGACACGCGATTTAGACATACGGAATAACACGCAAGTCAAATGGAAAACATAAGAGGAATGTTGCTTCACCTGAACATCACACGTGCGGACGGTGACGTTCCTCTCAAAAGTTTTGAGCAGCACTCTGGAGGTCCCTGAAGTCTCTGGAGACATAAATTAAACAACGAATAACGCGCAACAGTTATAACTTGTGTGTTTATAATTTCATTTAATAATTTTCCACACCGTTGATTAATGAAATTTTATTGTGCGCGAGGAGATTTTGAAAAGAAAAAAATATTCTCGTTCTAATCTGGCTTCTCTCGACCGGATCAGGACCGGTTCTTTGTAAGAATAAAAAAACAATGACAGCGTTAACGTGAGTTGCCAAGTCACTTCATCAAGTCATTCAAGTGAATTAAATTAGTACGTTAGCGTCAATTCTTTGGATCGAATGCGACAGAAATTAAAACCCGTAACGTCAACGAGTTCGATCGCCATAAATACGCCGAAAAGATTATTCATCGCCACGTCACTCATCTCGATTTCACTATCACAGAAAAATCTCTAATTCTTTCTATCTTGTATCGCGTTAAAAATATTTGTCAGTACCTCCAATTATCGAAACACATCGCTCGTGTTAATTACAACGATAATAATAATTGTTATTCATTCATTTCGCATGATTGAAAAACGTGTAGTATCGAAAAAAAAAAAATATATACCATCGAATTGTTATCATTGTTATTGTCTGCAAAACTCCTTTTTAATAAATGGGGTATCGACGAATATCCGCGATCGAGCTCCGCGGGCGACGCGGATTGTTCGAATACGACGAATATTGCGAAACTGGACGAGGCGTCCGCTGCGATCGCACGAAATCGCGGATGGTCGCCTGTAGTCATCATAGTCGCAGGTAATTCGATGATTGTCACCAATGTCATTCTGTGCCGCGGATTACGTAACGGGGCGTCCCTAATGCGCATCGTCCGCATCGCTCGCGGCGAGCGCGCTCGCTTGCAGCGCGTTATTCACGCCCGGCCGCTTCCGGTTCCGGTTCCCGATACGACGAGTCCACATTACGAGACGATCCTTTCGATTTGCCCGCCGATTGGGCCACCGGGACGAAGGAGCTAGCCGACTGGCAATCGCGCGATAAGACCACCGACGATTTACGACCGCGTCGCGACTCCGCCGCGGCCATTTACGAAATTGAATGTCCACCTACTGACCACCGACGCTCCGCCGTAAGATTATCTATCGACCTGAATATCTCGTAAAGAGGGATCCGGCGATTTTTACGCCGCCTTTTTGTCCTTACCCCGCCGTTATACGCCGTTATACCCCGCGTTCGCTTCTTTCGGCCGAGCGAGTTCGCGCTTTGAGGTTTACGTCAAAATTTTTATTACCTCTTCCTTTAATCTCTTTTAGAGATAACGCGGAGAAGAGTAGCTAGTTCGATTTGATACTAATGTCTACAGAGAAGCGTACCTCGAAACTATTGCCATTTTTCGTTTCACGCGCTCGTTCACACGGCGCGAAATTCATTCTACTGCGAAATTTAATTTCAGTTTCTTACGACTCGTTCGTTACTTTCTCAAATATCGACTAGCTTCGGTATTCGGCATTCTTTTTTTAGCTCGGAAGTTACTCCCGCTGATTAAACCGACGCGTTACTTAGAACTGTCGTTCCCATGCGAGTACTCGTTTGTGCGACTGAGAAGCAATGTTGGAAGTATCGTTACTCAAGGTCGCGGCGGTACTCGAAAGTTTCGAAACAGCTGTGGATATCATCATTTGCAATTCCAGTTACTCGCAGACGCCGCACCGGTGCAGTTTTTTTTTGCGCAGTCTCGTTCGCGTGACTCAAATTATATCTGCTAACTTTTGCTTCGCTACATGATTTTATGCAAGTGTAGAGATAGTATATAGACAGCATAGGGATAACGCGCAAATGCTGTCGCAAAAAATTATTTTTCACTCAGAAGTTTTCTCGTTAGATTTTCTTCCTAAAGAAATAAGTTAGAGGATGAATATATAAAATACAAGTTGGAGATGACTCTGAATATCAAAAGCTATTATTAATAATGAAAAATCGAATTTTCTGAGGAAAATTTTTCAGGCTCGAAAATTACAGGCGTTACAGTCAGAACTTGTAAATATATTTTAATGTAGAATAATCTCATAAATAAATCTTAAAATGTGTTACAATGTAGGGTCCTATTACGACCACACCTCGTGATATAAATTATCAGTTTATCGTCGCGTTTTTTTTTTAAGCTGCGTCGAAATTGGAAGTGTAATTCGTACTGCATGTCACATAAAACGTCGAAGGTGATTGCGAGTATGTGCAATTCTTAACGCCATGCGCTTTCATGTTTATTAATGACGACGATATATAACTTTCCCCTCTTCATACTGCATATATGAAGTGGCCTCGGCGAAACGGCTATTCGTTTGTATCGCGAGGTCAAGATCATTGTCGTTCGTTTGCGCAGAGCTTGAGTTCCGTCACGCCTCGTTTAATCCCGGCTATCATCTTTAACGTGACAATAAAAATCCGCGGAAATCCTCCTATTCTTGTCTCTAATGACACATTAAATAAAATATCTAAAATATTTAGCCGCGTCAAATTTTGTTGGAACATCTCTCCGATGTAACGATCGATCGATGAAGTTACTCAAAACTGTCACTTGATGTAATATCTTTTCAATTTAAATATTAAATCAATTTAAATATTATTTCAGTAACCTTGATGCTCAAGGTTTTTTGTACTAAAGTAAAAAGGAAGAGCAAAATTGTTTTGGATTGTTACTTCAAAAAATCTCGACAGATTAATATTCGTAGTTCTATCTAATTTTATCATAAAGTATTATAAATAAAAGTATATTTATCATATGAAGATATATGTTTACTCTTTAACAGCTGTTTACAATGTTTACAATATTTATTCATTAAAACGAAGCCAATGTATCGATTATTTTTACGTATCCGCCGAACCGAATAAGCATTCTATTTTTTTCATTATAAAGAAAAGAAACGTACGGCAGTAGATATAATGGACGGAAGTACCTTGCAAGAAACACGTGCAAGGCCTTTACCGATAAACCGGTAAATAGAGTGGTAGTAAGGTTTAATGTGTGAAGAGAATGGTTATTGTTTCACACTGTCGAATGAAATTTACTTCACTATTGTATAGCGCTACCAGGACTTACTAGGTAATCTCTACTGTCATTGTGCGTAAAATAAATTCAACGCGCTGAGCCTTTCGCAGGAGTTGTTTGACGAACTCGGGAGATGATTAATCGCTGAAACTGGACTTTCGTTACCGCAAAAACTAGGTAGGATGCATTCCACGATCAACTAGAAGGCGCATTTGCAACTAGAAGGCGTCTTTTATTGCGATTAAAAAAATATTAATTAATTAATTAACATTTTTACGCAAAAAATATTATAGTCTTGCTATCACACACATGTGTGCTATAACCTCGACTCACTCTGCTTTAGTCATGTTTATTAATTATATTACACAGATGCAGGTGTATATATGTTCTTTCTACATGTATATATATGTTCTTTCCTATAGGCACGATTCATTCTAGGACATAGATAGACAAGCGACCGACAAAATGTAGCAACGAGAATGTACGCTGCTATTTCGGAACGAGGACGAAGAACATTAACCTAATCTAACAACAAATATGGCGACGACTAACGAGAGCATTGATTTAAATTATAAAATGCATCGATAGTAAGTCTCATATGTAAAAGTCAAATGTTCCATTTTTATATTGATTTTGCATATAGTATTTTAACATATATATATATATATATATATATATATATATATATATATATATTATATATATATATATATATATATATATATATATATATATATATATATTTGCTAAATATATTATATATATGTATAAATAAAATTAATAAATAAAATCGTGTTACTTTAATACCTATTTCTTTGTATTGTCTTTCTGGTAAACATAAAAGAAATTATCTCGTAGGCGTCAAAGTGAGGATCTCTGGCGTTAAGATTTTCTGGATTTGTTCCAAAGTTGTGAAGTGTTCAAAGCTGCCTACTCGGAATTGCAACAAGTCAGATAAATACCATTCCATTATATCGCTAGCTCATCAACCTTGAACGCCGCACGATCAACCTCAGTAAAGAAGACAAAAGGAATAAATATCAATTTCCTCATTTCTCACCGAAGGTCTTGATTAGAATATGTATATATTAAAGTTGCAGCGATTTTATTTTAATGTTAAACAAATAATCCTTTATGTTTAGAAATGTGCAAATATATAATAACTATAACATAAAGTCACATTTTTAATTATTTGCAATTGAGTATTTTTCTTTGTGAGAGCCAAGTATTACCCTTTTTTATTACTTACTTTATCACTTTTTTTATTACTGTTATTTATGTTTGTTATAAAAAAAAATTATAATTTAAATTGTATAAATACTGATATGAAATTGATGTAATAATTCTTCTTTTGAAATTACACCTAAATATATTTTATGTTATGTTTCATGGATATTTTATAATTCTTAAGGTCCGTTTCTTGAAATATAATAATATTAATGTGTAATATTCATTTGCATTAACTATGACGTAGATTGCAACAGTTTTGGCATACAATACAATCAGCTGTTACATGAGAAAACGATGTTTGTAGCTATAAATGTAATTATGTTGGCGCAATAATTATTTATACAGACATCATATTTTTTAATAAAAAAAAATAATACAAATTTAGCATCAAGCATATTAATATTAATGCTGATATATAAAACACATATACATTTTTATATTTTACGTATGTATCTTATATAATTAATTTTTATTACGAGTATTCAAAATCACAAAATCACGGTGTGTATAAAAATTTAAAACATTTCGCATATAAATTGCATAAAGAAAACTGTTAAGATTTAATAAAATATATAAAAGAAGGGCTAATAAAAATATTTAATAAAAAACATTTTTATTCATATACATCAGAAATGTATAATTTGATGTTTATGAATAAAATGTTTTTTTCATTAAATATTGTCGTTAAGTATTTCATGAGACTTAAATAATAAATTGACTAGTTTTTAATATTTTATTAAACTATTTAAATGAATATTAATTAATTTTTATTCAATCTCTCAGTCGGAATCCAATTTCAGCAGTTTATCCTTTATATTATTTCCAAAGAATTAATATCATAATATTCAGATAGCAAAATTTATTTCCTTCCAAGTTTTATATATATATAAAAGGGATAATATTAACGGATTATACAATATATTATAGCGATTATAATTCTCCATTTTCAAGGTTGTGCATTCTCGAGGAGATGTGCAATCTTACACAATCTGATTATTTTTCCTAATCGATTAGCTCTTCGTAATCTCTCTCCAAGGCATATCATTTAAATACGTCCTTGTAAGAACGTACGTTGCTTCTTCAAGTGATTTCATATGGAAATAACGGTCTGTATTGTATAACTATGTTCAACGTATCCGCAATTGGATCATGTATTTCTTTTAGATATGCAATAATTGAATTTTGTAGGAAATATTCAAGTACACCTTAACAAGTTGCAAAATGCAAAAATGCAAAGTGTAATTCGATACAATACACAAATGATATATCAAAAAACTGTCTTCCTCGAATTATTTCCTGACATTACAATAATAATTTTATTTATTGATTATTTTATTTAACATGCAAGTCCTTTAAAATCTTCCAAAAACATAATTATATTTGACATCAGAAACTTTATCGTTTCCTCTGGTTTATTTATACGAGCTTGACGCATTGTTGAAGAATACAAATATCGCGGATATAAATATCGAGGATATGACTCATTTTTAATAAATGTGACTGTTTACGTACACCTGAAATTAGGAACTTTGTAGTATTTGGTCTTAGGTTTTTCGATACGATTTTCACAAGTGAAAATAAGATGGCGAATCACAGATATCATTACACGTCACGAAATAACTCTCGTAGTGAAATTCTCCGAGCGATATAAAACACACTTCTTCGAAAGAAGTAACTTTTCCGCTTCTCCACGTCGCTCTCACGACTTGGACGTAATTTTCAGAGGCGGTGGCAGAAAAACCACGGATACCGTGTTAACGACCGTTACTCGCTTGAAAATCGGCGCGTGGAAATTGCGCGAATAATGCACCGTCGCCGGAACGAGCACAGGTGTGGCTCGCTTGGGCGGCAAGAAGCACGTCATGTTGGTTCGTCCGGCAAATTTTATTGGAGGAAAAAAAAAAGTGCCGGGAATCGAGGCGATTCGACGCGTACGTTATTTCTATCCGGTTCTATCCGATTCGCGAGAAAAAGCGATGTGATAATGGCGGTGCTTTGACAATGGCGTACTTTGTTGTTAAAACCGAAGAATCGCGGACAGAAGCAACGTGGAGGTGCTCCTTCGTCGTGGAGGCGATGTGCGCGGCGATGGCCTCAATTGCGACCGTTTGAACCGTTCACCAGCTGATCGCCCATTAGCGAGAGGCAGGGTGCGGGTAAAGGCAGAGTGCTCGCTGGATTAGAAAGTACAGATCTCATCCGACGAAATAGCCTCAGCAAAATCCACCAGCAGTATCCAAACGCTTCTTCCAAAAGAAATCGGCTTATCCCTCTCTTGTTTATCTCAGCATCGTTCTCCCATCGATTCTCCTGGATTTACGATTTGTCTTCGGGACACCGCGATTAATTCTAGTCGTCTGAAATATTTTCGTTCCTTCATTCCAACCGATTCTCATTAATTCAATCGCATTTCACGCATATTTTATTTTTCATATTCAACATGTAACATTCCCATAGAGATAAAAAGCAAAAATAGTTATAATAGCATGTCTACGTCGGCGAAAGAACTACATGTAACGAATGGAATTTATTTATTACACATGACGCAAAAGTTTTGACCATAATTTTTCGTAGTATTTAAAATCCTAAAATCCTACTAATAATGTAATAATGTAAATGCATACATGTCTCGATAATTGCAAATTGCATTGACACATAGTTATTAGAAAGAGTTTTATATATAACGTATATATTATTTAGCGAATAATATCACATTTATTACGAGCGTGATAAATAATTTTCCACGCTTCCAACTTTCTACGCCTCCAACTTGTAACAATGAAACGCAACACGTCGTCCACACAATCTATCAATCGCAAAGAACTGGAATCTCCCAATTTCGGTCTTTGTCCTCGCGTAGAGAAATCATCACAAAAATGTATCCTTGAGGCTCTCGCACGCGATAGAGCTCACTTTCTCTCGACCCGATTGTCGCGCTAGATCGCTACCGCGTTTTTTATTCGCAGCCGAGCAGTCGCTTCGTGGTTGGTCGATCCTGTACACGCCCGATCGGTTCCTTTATCGTCACGTCGAAGCGGCCAGCCCCATCGCTGTAGTGCAATGACCGGTTAAGTGATTCGACCAACGTTTTCTAAGTGGCGGCTCAAAGGGAGACGTTCGCCTTTCCTCCGCTAACTCTCCATTTTCTTGGCCCTATCGAGCAAGTTCGCTTCTTTCCCGTCCTCCCTCGACGTCCTTGGCTCTTTGCTAGAATTTTCACAAGTCCCCCATGATAGTGGATCCCTCCGATGGGTTTCTCACCTCGGTTTGATCTCACCTCCGTTTTGTCCGCGCCACCGCCGCCGATTTAGATGTAAATCACCACGGTACCGTCGTTGAAAAAGATCGTTATCCGAATCTGTTGTCTGACTCTGGAGGACATGTCGCCAATCGGGATACGACGATCGCTAAATTATCGCGGATTAAATGGCTGGTGGAATTCAAATAGCATTCCTCTTTTGCCGGGCTCCCTTTAATCCTCACCCCCTTACACCGTTCGCGTTCGTAACACCTCCGTCACTTCTGTGTATAAATTGTACGTTCGATTATTCGCGATACGATGCGAGTTAATAAATCTTCGATTCAGGTCCGAACAGGCACTAAACCGTTCGCCGAGACGATGGCTCAAGGGTACGACATTTTGACGTCTACGGCAGCGTCGGTTCTCTCGTCAGCGGCATCGCCTTTCTCTCGGATGCAGCGCTCGAATAATGACGATGATTAATCACCTTAGTCACCGTGCCGATCGAACATTCGCGAGAATCGCGACTAATTTAAAAGAGATAGCTGCAACGTTTTTATTCCATTCGACGCTATTATCGGCATATTCATCGCAGTTGACTCTTCTGTTTAACGACGCTTACAGCAATACCACCACCAGTTACAAATGATTATGTTCGATAATTTTCTTAAACTCCACGGCCAAATTTTATTATAAATTTTCGAAACAATCACACAGATTTTTCGATACGATATGCCGTCGTTGTTCCGGTATTCTGCTTGCGCCTCCTAAGTAGCCAGCAGTTTTCCTCAGGTAATCTAGAGCAACATTGTTCTATTTTAAATTCTGAAATTGGAGCACCGAGATAAAAGTTCTACAATATCTTCCCAGCCTGATTTATTTCAAGTGTTATCATTGACGTAGCAAAATGTTGCTTACGCCGCCTAATTTAGCGATTCCTTAAAATAATCTAGGATGGTATATTGTTCTATTTTAAATCTCGGAATCCAAGCGTTTCGAGATAAAACTAATACTTTACAGGCTGTTGGATGAAGATCCGCGGCTCTCTCGTATTTCGTGATTTTCGTGTATTTACCAGTAAAATTCGTCGCGAGGTGTCTTCGTGCCAAACGGTACCGAGTCTGGAAATGCTCGCTTTTGATACGAGCGAGGCTGCACTCCTTGCACTTATCCCGGGGACCAGCGGGAGCTTTTTGTCTCGCGAGTCTGTCCCACGAGCGTCGCGACGCCCCAACTGGAAGCCGGCCACTTCTGCGCTTGGGTTTATATTTAAACTGCAAAGCGCCGCCGGCCACGTCGACGTCGACGTCGACGCCGACGTCGACGCATCGTCTTTCCCAATGCGTCGGCCCGGACGTCAAGGAGCGGAGAGAAGAAAGAAAAGAGAATGTGTGTCGGGGAAAAGAACGCGCCAAGAGAAATACCAGAATGAAGGGGGGAAAAAAATCTCCCGCTTTCGCGAAGCGAAAACACCTCCGAGATACGTGATACGTGTTGGCGCACGTGAAATATTGAGGCGATGTTTAAAAGAGAAATATTATTTGGGAAGGAAGAGGACTTTCGAGAATTCGTATATAAATACAGTGTACGTGCGTGATACGGTGGAAGGCGAGATGATTGCATAATAATTCTAGGGAGCGAGATATCACGAGCTTATCAGCTTTTGGACATTTTCCTTTTCTTATTCCTTATTTTGCCTGCAATTTTCAAGACGTAAAATTTCGTCTTTTGTGGATGTACGTGTTATGTTACTCTTTTCATCATCGTCTTTTCTGTTTTACATTTTCCACGGAATTTTGGCACAATACGCAAAGTTTCACACACGCTCGCGCGTATAAACGGCGCAGTATGGAAAATTTGGAAAATTCCTGCTAATAAAAGAACGCATAAACATCGATGCCATAGGATCGTGGACCTCCCACATTGGCGCATATCTGCTCGACGTTTTAAACGGGACCAATCAAGTTTGCACATGGTGAACGAATGTTTAACGGTCTCTGCAAGGAGAGGAAAGCGGGACGATACAAAGCCGCCTCTGCAGTTGATGAAATGCATATATGAATATCAATTACTATCGTAATTAATCATTCAATTATTAAAACATTGAATTGTTCACAGATAACGACAATTATTTCCCGTTTAATATTTCAAAGTGGAATCTTTTCTAACGAAATTTTAATTCAATTTTGTTACAAATACACATATCGTGATATCATAAATTGAAAATTTACTAAAATAACACCCACTATGTAAAAGCGAAATAAATCAAAGAATCTCTAGTCAAAGCTAAAACGTCACGCACCAATTTCGGAATAATCTCAAATATTCCAATTAAATATCGCTATAACTCGAGAGGAGTTTTCTCGATGTTTCATCACGCTATACACTTGCACATAATAATTAGTTCCTGCAAACATGGGTTGCGCCGAACTCAATCAGAGCGCTTGCATACGAATTAGTCCTTCCTGGACAATTCATGCATGGGTATGTTAGTTTTCGATCGATAAATATTGCGGGAGAGACCGGCATATCTCCCCGTGCCTCCGTCTCGTCACGCTCGCAAGGCGGATCCTCATCGAGAGGAGGAAATCCCAATGGGCGCATCTCGAAGATCTTGCGAATGTTCCGGGGCACGCCGTTTGAATCCTCGCGAGAGAGCATATCCTCTTTCTTTTTTTCTCCTCCACCCGTCTGCCCACGCGTTCAAACTATCTACCCACCCGCGAAAGAGATAAAAAAAAAACGAACGGGGGGAGAGACGAAGGAGCAGGCTGGAGATCTAGGCTGAACGCAGAAAAAAGAAGAAGACAACCAACTACGAGGAAGGTCGAGGAAGGAGAGGAAGCGTGATATATGGAGAAAGGGACGGTCTGCGCACGTTTGTGTACGTACGAGGGAGAACATCGCGCCAATATCAGGATGTAGGGTTTCGGGGTACGCCCAAAGGGTCATCACCCTTTCTTGGCGGACCCTTCTCCTTCTCCGCGCTTATATGTCTGCTTCGTGCTTCTGCCTTCCCTCCTCGCTTCTCGTCTCTGTCTTCTCTTTTGCTGGACCGTCCCCACTCCATCTTCCTCATGCATCCCCTACGACGCGCGCTTTTACTCCCTGGCGCGTCTCCAGAGACGAAGAAATACGATTCGCCCCGCGAGAAAATGGCGTAATTATATACGAGGGCGGGTAGAAGAAGGAGAGAACGTAAATCACAACGGCGTGGAGGCAACGGCGTGGAGGCGTGCGGGGCTTGGATGAGAAGTCCCGCAAGTCCGCCGAAAACGCTGTTCGGAAAGAGGTTTCGAGAACTTCTCCTTCCTTCCTTCGGAAGATGATGAAAATCTCGAGGAAGCTCGCTAAGCGCGCTGATTCCCTCCCTCCCTCCCTCCCTCGGTGAGAATAGAAGGATTATTTTCCATTTCGTTTTGTTTAAAGTCGCTCGCACGCCTCTAGGAAGCAGGAAACGACAGGAACGAATCTCTAATTTATCGAGACTTATATAGTCTCGAGTCTCGCTAAGGAAACTTCCAATCTTCAGTCATCCCGTTTTCATCCCGTTTAATCGTAAGAGAGTGTTGCCGCGTCACGGACTATCTGCGATGCAAGGTTCAATATCCTCCTCATTATGATGGCGTCACTTCAGAAGGGTACCGCTCGCGTGACTCGCTTCTTGATAACGTGACTGACAACCGATGGAGATTCGAGCCCTGTGGATCATACCATGATGATACGGGTGCAATGAGCTCGGCATGATGTCGCCGTCTTTCAGTAAGGCACTCGACGCGAGGCCGCATAAATTTTAGTCACGACCGCTATTTACCAGACATTATTCAAGCGGCAAAATAATAAAAATTGCCGACGAGTACGTAGTAACGAAACATTAAGATAAAAAATGTAGAATCACAATAATATAATAAATATTAAAAGTAGAAACACACATTAAAGATAAATATAAAAATAAAAATACGTGAAAATGCGATACAAATAATAATAAGGTCCATAAGTATTTTAAATGGAATTTCAGATTTAATGAATTCAAATTAAGAAGAGAGAACACGAGCTACGAGATGTGAAACTTTCTAGAAAACTGTCAAAGTGAAACAAAGCTAATACGACCGTACGCGAGATCATTACTAACGTCCGCTTCAAAGCTCGACGTCTTTTTTTTATGGAACGAGGATTAGGATGCAAATCACGGTGTAATCTTAGTGCGTCGAACGAATCTTTAGCGTTGATGAAGCTCCCGCGAATAATTGCTTCTTCTTGTGGTTGACGCAAGCGGCAATAAAATTTGCCACGGAATAAATGGCTTTTAATATTAATCTACGACCACTAATGACGGGCTACACGCAGTAAGGCGTTAACGCAAAATTGCAAATCACATCGTGTGCGAGATTATTTATTGTTGACGCAAATCCCGCGTCTGTACTCATAGATCGGTCGAACTTGTAATTACAAATTTGCGTAAAACAAAACAATCAATACGTGTTAGTCCTCCAATTGCTAAATGCCGTCATAATTACGGGAATAATAATAAAATATTAATAGAAAATGATATAAAAAAAAAATACTGATAATCTGACGTGATAATTTAAGTAATTTAAATATAAATTAAATGTACATATATTTTTATTTGGGATATATATATATATATATTATTACTTGTCGCAAGTTTTATTTGTTGTGAAGATGCTTCAAATCGACACAATCGCAAAGAAAAATTCACGCTTGAATCATCTTGAGATTGAAAAATCTTCTTTTCAATTAAAAGATTTTTTTATTGTTTCACATATCCAGTTTCCTACTAACTATTCATAATTAATATGCGACGAGTTAATTATACCATATTTCTCCGATTTGTTCTCTCTTTTCTTTTTAGAAAAACGAAGAAGATCGTGCACCGATCGTAATGAAAGCTCCGACTTTTTCATTTTCACCGAGAGACTACACCGAGTCGCCATAATTAAACGGTGAAATTTCGCTGAAATTTCCTTCCTATGTTCAGGGCGAAAGCCCCAAGTTCACGAATTCGATGTCGGAGACAGCGGAAAAAATTATGCGCCGCAAGTGCCAGTGGACTCCCACATACTCGTAATTAGCGAGCGGCACTCTCAATTATTCTAATTAGGGTAATGACATCACGAGGCTGCATTGGGTATTCCGAGATAGAATCGGCCGTGAATATCACCACGACTCGCGTACTCTCTTTCTCCGTCTCCTTCCTTTGTCTCCTTCTTCCAATGCAAAATCTTTTGAAACATCCGGATCCTTTCACGGCGGTTTCCCTTCCCGCCACGAGAACGCGTCGCATGAGCGCTCGTTTATGAAAAGGAAATCTAAGTAGTTTTTTACGACAGCGGGATCGTTTTAGAGTACAGGAATCCCCCACGAATACATAGACACAGTTCTCGCGTATCCATGCAACTTCAAAAGTTGCCGCACGGTCGGATGCAGCACGAGCGGTAATAACGCGGCCGTTATTCCTGAATATGCAAAATAGAAGTAAATGTGGAATGCGGGTTACGAGATCAACGACGGGCGAGTGCGCAGTTTACACGCAAAAATCATAAATTACGTATGATAACGCGGTTTGGTTTAACGATATAATAGTTCTGCCTATCTTGTACATCGCGCGTTTTATTTTCGCATATTTATCTCTGGTTATTATTATTATTATTATTATTATTATTATTATCTTAATTCAACGTACTAGAAAATTTTGAAATATCGCACGTGTATATCGTACGTATATTATAACTAACATTTATTTGTTCGAAAAAAAAATTCTTTTTTACATGAGACTTGCAATAACGATTTCTTTCACAATATTTGTGTGTATGATTTATTTTTGTAAGTTATAGGACTGAAGAATTGAAGGATCAAATACCTCGCAATTATTTTGGGATAATACGGTAATATAAATATTTATAACCAGTTATCTGTTTTTGAAGCAACAAAATATATTTTGGAATTTTAAATGTTCATATCGTTTTTATCGTTCTAACTTTAACATATATTACAACTTTTTGTATATAACATTAGTGATACAAGTAATGTATAAAACATTCTATAAGTTGTGCAATTCTTGACAATTCTTGAAAAATAATTTTAAAATAAATTGTGGCCACTGTCAGAAAAAAAAAATAAATAAAGTATTCGTATTAAAAAAAGTGCCACGAGATATTTATCGATTTCAGCATTAATCGCGGGTCACATGAAGGAGAGTCATGTTCACGTTCTAATGGGGTCCAATGTTGAAGAATTTCGCGCAGCTCGACGTAAATATACGTGTCCCCTCGCATTATGTTGCTCTCGTCGACTCGACGAGAGGGATACGACGAGACTGAAGG